CCTAGGAGTGGTATTTTGTATGTGTGAAACTCTTTTCGATTGTAATAATGTTTTATGCCTGTAAGTTTGGTGGTGGTGATGATTATGGCATGCAACTAAAAATAATAGCAATTATGGTTTTGAGCTATGGTGATAGATCAAAACTATAATGAAAAGGATTCCTATCTCATAGACTAAAACTTATTGTTATTATTATTATTATTATTTTATTTTATTTTTTGAAGTGAAGGGGAAGTGAAGGGAAGAAAGGTCGGGAAAGCGAAGGGAATATGGCCGACAAGCAGCACTAAAGGCTAGTTGCTAGAAGCTCGAGAATACTCTAGCCTAGTACTACATGAGATTTTTTTTCAAAAAAATAATAGCAGCATATAATGAACAAAATAGTGGTATGAATTAAAGTCATTCTCGGTGCTCTGAAGCGCATTCTAGCTAAATTTCCATTTACTGATCTCATCTTTTACGGAATCGACCCCTTACAAGAATTCGTGGAGTTCAACATGTCTGGAGGCACAATAGAACATTCTTTTTCTGATATTAATGAAAATAGTATTCACAATTTCTAACAATAGGGCCTGGAGACTATTTAGTTCATCATGCTATTGCTCTAAGTTTACCTACAACCACATTGATCTTAATGAGAGGTGCTTTATATGTGCGTGTTTCCAAGTTAATGCCTGATAGAAGGGATTTTGGCTATAGTTTTCCTTGTGATTGTCATTCTGGGGCATATTGTCCGGGATATTCATCAGTTATTCCGCTGTTTTTTTCTTCCTCTTCCCCGGCAAATCTTGCTCTTTTCCACTTTCCTATGTTTCTCCATCCACTCCTCCCGCCACTTTTCTTTTGGTTCTCTCTTCTTTCTTCTGTTTCTTTCCCTTTGCTTCTTTTCTTTTGGTTCTTTTGTTTCTTTCCTCTATTTTCTCTTTCTTTGTTGGTTGTCTATTTGTTTCTTAAGGCCTATTTGTTTCTTCCGTTTTTACGTATTTTCGTTGTCTGTCTTTTTCTTCTCTTGGTAGAGTTCTTGTAATGCAGTACAAACGGGGAAGTGGACAAAAACGAAGAGAGGTTAAAATTTCATTTTGGCCACTCTAGTTTAATAAAAAAAAAAATTTTTGTTATTTTACTTAAAAAAATTCATTTTTAGTTCTTAAAATTTGTCATATGACCCTTTTTTAGTTCTTCTGTTATTTTTTTACATATGTGATATATTAGATGATAAAAATTTTAAAATGAAAAGATTAAAAGGGACCAAAGAAAAGTCTCTTTGTAGTTTCTCTCTACATTTAAAAATAATTATTTGATAAGTGTTTTTCACTACTAGAAAACAATTTTTAATTGATATAAAATTTTGTCGATTATATATAAAAAATTTTGTTGATTATAAATATAATCAACAAAAAATATTATCGAATAAACATACGTACAAAATAAATATAATTGACAGAAATATTTTCTATCGATCATACTCATGTCTGTCAATTATATATGTTTAATCGACAGAAATGGTTGTCAATTTTGTTGGTATTTGATTTAAAAATAATTTAAAAATAATTTTACATTTATTAATTATATTATAAATATTAACCAAAATATATGTAAAACAATCATGTGTTGCAATAATATATATGAATATATATAGATAAATCTATAAAAACTAATTGAAAAACTATAATAATTTGCAAATATTATGAAAATAATGAAAAAAAAAAAAAGAAATTGAAAGTATAAATCAAAAGTAGTATTAGAAATTACCTCATAGTATGATTTCAAACTTAGTAACCTGCAAAAGAAAATAAAAATATTATTAGATCAAATAAAAATAACTGAATAATATAGA